AAGAAGGTAGCTGTCTGTAAACTAGGAGGAGGGCCTTCACCAAGATCCCAACGAGGCTGGCGTCCTGATCTCGGACTCCAGCCTCTACAACTGGGAGAAATAAATATTTGTTACCAAAAACACCCAGTCTGTGGTATTTTTTTATGAGCTAAACTAAGACACTCTCTAAGAAGAACTGAGTCTCACAAAGTCTTGCACTCGATCTGATCATGGGAGTTAAAGAAATTTAAAAACTGGCTTATTTTTAAGCTTGATTTTCAACATTTATTATCGACTTTGATACTCTGTGACTCTTTTTCCTAGGTAGGCTCTGTCCTCACTTTCCCTAGAGTGATGGGCCTCCCAGCTCAGCCGTGAAGTTGCAAGGGAATGTGATTTGGGAAGGAAACAAAACTACATTGGTTTACTATGTCAAATATGTTATATCTGTAACCACACTCACACTGTATTGCAGAAATGTTGGTTCATGTGGCCGATTTCTTCATTTCTGATGTAATTGTAATATAGTGATTACCTCTTATGCCTGTCTTCTCACTCTGAAAATATGGCTCTTTCTGGAGATCTCCAAAATAATGTTCATTGATATGTGATACTGATAGTAAAAGTGTGACAATTCCAGAGACTCAGGCAAGTGACTCAGCATCCTCTTCCAGAATGAGCCTTTGTTAAATACAAAGGACACTAATTCTGCCTGGGCTAATCCTGTGGGTCTAAACTTAACAGGTTCTCGGGGTTTTGGTTGTTGTTTATGATGATCATGATGAGGAGGAGGATATCGAGTTTTCTGTTGTTAAAAGCTTTACCCGTTAAAAAATATCTGATTACTGATTATCTAGGCTCTTTGATTTCTGTCAGGGCAGGATTAATTTGTTGTAAGGTGTAAGCATAAGGCTTTTCTCCTCATCTATAATGTCCTTTTTCCATTTGCCTGCCTTGAGATTCTTAGTCTTGTAAACTAAAAGTAAAATCCCAAGCCTCCCAACTGACTGAATGGACACCATCACACCATCTTGGCCAAAGGGAGCCCAGGGAAGCCTTAAAAACTGAGTTCCTGGCCATGACAGGATGGAGGTTAGACACGTCTCATTATACCCTTCACTTTTGCAGTGTAGACGCAACCAACAAGCATTAATGTTAAAGTAGCCAGAACAGACTCTCTGTGACAATAAAATACCAAATTACAAACAGGGCCTAAGCCTGCGCCAGGCAAGGGTTAATTAAGTCCTGCACCCTACACTTAAAGAATGAAGTATGCTCTAACTTCACAAGGCTTTTCTCGTTCTGTGGCAGCCAAACAAGCACTTATCTCAGGGTAAGCAATATTCAAACAATTGGCAACTCAGTCACATTCAAGTTACTGCCCACTGACTACTGACTAACTGACCAGCACCACCTCAGTCCCCCTCCTACCCTACCTGTTCCACAAGCCATAACTATAGCTTTGACTAGATAAGAGATCAGTAACTTTCTCCTGGTAAGAAGAGCACCAAGCACGGACTAATCCTGGCCAGTTTTACAGAGATTGCACACTTGATTGCCTCCATGTCCCAGCTTCAGCCTTTGATATCTGGGGCCTAATTGTATACATCACAATATTAAGTCTCCACCCCCAAAACGAACATGGGTCATATGTTACATGAATGTATAATGAATACACAGGCATTAGGACCACTTTCATGAATATTTATAGTTCCTTTTGTAACCTGTTGAATATATGTAATAGCCAAACCCATTTCAGCATACAGCTCCTCCTCCTTTGACCTCCATTGAAGTGTCTGTCTTCTGGTCTTTGCCAAAGGCTACACTTTACAGCCTGGAGCAGAACCATCCTGCAGGTTGTAACCCCCTATAGGAAATAAAGTTTCCTCTCAAAACTTATAGATCTCATTATTTTTTTGGTTAACAGTCTTTGAAACCCAGTTGCAATGCTGCCTACTGTGTACAGCATCCTCTGAGTCTTCCCCTACACCCAGGAAGTCTTAAGCTCCCTTTGTGCCAGCATTACATCTTGTAAACATCTCTGTTAGCACATTTTTCACAGTGAGTCATGAGTATTTTCCACCATGCCTAGCTCCCTTACAGAATTTTCTGTATCATTCATACTGTTCACATCTGGCACATGACAGGCGATCAGTAATGTTTGTTGCCTGCATGACTGGCTGAATGAATAAATGAGTGGGTCTCAAATGCCATTGCCGAGGTCCCGCAGCTAGGAAGGAAGAATGCTGAAATTCAACACTGGATTGTGACCTCAAGGCCAGCTTTTGCTCTACATCACGCTGCTTTGCACTTTTGGGATTTAAATTAGTTTGTTGTCTACCTGTGATATATAGGTGTGAGCTTCCATGAGCCTTATGTGCTTTTCCAATCCTTCCTCCTCATCCTTTCTTTGACGAAGAGTGTGTTTCCCAAAATCATCAGTGGAACCAGGTTTTAGGGTGAATGTTAGTAAGAGAATAGAGAAGACTATCACCAGACCAAGCCCTAAACAATGAAGAGTATGATAGAACTACTTACCTTGAAGTCTTCCTATAAGAATTGCTTGCATTTCTTAGGTGTTTCTTATGTGCTTGACATAGTAGTAAGTTATTTACATACTTTATTTCATTTAATTATAACAATTATCCTTTAAAATAAGTCTTACTACTGTGCCTTATTTCACAAATCAGCAACTGAGACTCCTAAGAGATAATGTTAATTTCCCAAGGCCTGATGGTTTTAGTAGAAGCGGAATTGGGACTCAAGCCTGACCAGGCCGCCTGATACCAAAATCAACTCCTCAAGATTATGGAGTCCACCAAGAATAGGCGAATAGGGAAGAGAGAGGGGAAATTAATTATAAATTAACATTCATTGGGAGTAGTAGATATCTGTCAGGCTTTGTGGTGGTCACCCAGTGTTTTTAACTCTCTTTCCTACGTTTGGGGAATTTTCCATATTGAAAGTCTCACATCCCAAAGGTGGAAGCCAGTTTCTTGTTCTTGGGTAAAAAGGGAAAATGCTATTTATCACACACACCAGAACTGGCTAAATGAATAAATGAATGGCGCTCAGAAAGATAGAAACAGTAGCAGTTGTGCAGACCCCTGTAATCCACTGCATTCTGGAGCAGAGCACAGTGGCTTAACAGGGCCAGACAACAGACTCCTAGAGAGAGACCTCAACCTTAGGCCATGGTACTTATGAACTACGTGATTAGCAGTGGCCTCTCCCCTCAGGAAGTAAAGGTTCAGGGTATAATAGTGATATGACATGTGATATGGTTTGGCTGTGTTCTCACACAAATCTCATCTTGAATTGTGTTAAGATGATTAATAGTTCCCATAATCCCCATGTGTCATGGGAGGGACCCGGTGGGAGATAATCGAATCACAGGGGCAGTTACCTTAATGCTGTTCTTGTGATAGTGAATGAATTCCGATGGTTGTATAATGTAGCAAGCTATTGGCTTGAGCTCCAGCACCTCAATCTGCATTCAAGACTCAGGAAGTACCAGCCTTTCTCCTGGGATCCACGACTCACGTCAGCCAGAAATGAATGCCTTAAGCCTGTCCTATAGCCAGTTTCCACCAAGTTGTAAAGGAGCAGCTCATTTGCTAGATGGCAGCCTGCAGAGAATCAGTCTTTGACAAGTTTCCAAGGGGACAGTTTCCCCTTTCTCCCTTACTTTCCCAGTCTCCCTGGCAGCAAGTTCATAAGTGTGTGATTTAGGCTCTACCAGAGACATGCAAGGCTTCTCAGATTGTCTCACAAGCTCTGACTCACTCCAGGCACCAGTGCTTCAGGGAAAGTGGCTAGAGACTATTCCATGATCCTCTGATTCCCTCCTCCAGCCAGGCTTTTACTTGTCAACTCTTCCACAATCATGTAAACTCCAATTCCTCTGCTATAGTCATGATTTCTAAAATGTGTAATTTTCTTTCCCTGACCGGACTGTGACTGATACAGTCAGCAAAGTGAAAAGTGGGATGGGAAATAACACGTGGTAAAAATAAACTGTGATGCATAATTCTGTTCAAAGCCCTAGAATAATGGAAAAATATTGAGCTTTGGGTATCACACAGGCTTGGATTTTAGTCTCAGCTTTACCCCTTGTAGCTGTAAAATGTTCAGTAAATTACCAAACATCTTCAGTTACCTCATTTTAAAATGAGGATCATAAATAATACCTCCCTCATAGGGTTTTTGATGATAAAATGATAATGTTTTAAAGTGTTGTGAACACAATAGTCCCAAATATCAGAATGTTTCTATTTAATAATCAACTTTTAAAAACCAAATATAATGAGCACATGTATATGTTGCCCATTCTATCTTGGAACTGTTGTTTTATATGTACTTTCAAGGTAAAAATAATATCTTTACCAAATACATTGTTTTAAATTATATATATTTATAATTGTGATTGCTCTGGGTTTGCTTCCTCAAATTGGTTTTTAAATGATTCTATGTATGCTGTGCTTCTTTTAATACATGTCAGAAAGAAGAGTAAACTTTTATAGGCAATGAATTTTTAAGTTTTGGGAAAATGAAAATTTTATTTTTCACATTTATAGATATGAAAAAACATGTTGAACTAACAGGTACTTGATTAATAACTAATATGGGGTCACTATTTACAAAGGACACATTTGAACAATAAAATGGAAGCAGAAGGGTAGATAAGAGTTCATTGTACTTACATGATGTGGCAAATCAGCAACTTTGAAGAATTCTACCAAGGCCCGGTTCCCCGTCTAAAGCCCCAGTAATGACTGGGCTCTTTGGACCCCAATTTCCTCATCAATTACTGTGAAGAAGGCTTAATGTGGACTCCTCCAAGTTCTATCAGTGTAGGACCACGAATGTGAGCCCTGTTGGCAATAAATGTAGTTTACTCAGTCCAACTTCTATTCGCCAAATGAGAAAAGTGGTTGGTAATTAGATTTTTCCCAACTCTTGAATTAGACACTTTAAAAGAATAATCATAGCATGATGCACATAACAAGACATTTACTGAATGTTTTATATTCAGTATATAATTTAATCCTCACAAACCAATGATATACAATTATTTTTGTTCCCCTTGTATAGACAAAGAAATAGAGGCAGAGCAAAGCTAAGTAACTCCTGAAATGACATCCAGTTAGGAAGACGGACAAAGTCTTCACCATAACTAAGTGAAGGATACTGGCTCTGTAAGTCAGACTGACCTGGTTCAAATGCCTGACTCTGCCATTTAGTACCTTCATGAGTAATTTGGGGCCAAATCTGGGGCCAGATTACCTAACTGCTCCAATGTTCCATTTTTGTTATCTGTTAGATGGTGATTATACCAGTTGTACTTTCTTCCAAGGGTCGCTGTGAGAATTAAATGAAATATTTTGTTTAGTGTTTACTCAGTTTTGCCTATGCTGGAGATAATAATAATTTAACCTTGCTCCCAAAGAGTTTTCTTTTAACAATGCCTATTATTCTGAGCAAATTGGCATTTCAGAACTCAAGCAGTGTATACCAATGTTGTTAGACAAATGTTCATCTTTTTAACTGACTGGAAAGACCAATGCCACATACCTGGCTAAGCTGTTTCACATTTCATACGTACTCACAAAGTCCAAAACATTGGCTCTTTTCGACAGATTGCTGTACATCATATTTACATGTTTCCCACCACCCGCTAGAACACACTTGGCAATCCAGCAGGAGTTTTTCAACATGCTAATTAATGCAAATAATTCATCTTGCCTTCCTTTGAAAAGGGCAGAGGAATGTGTTAGATCTCCCTTTCATCTATTAGAAAATATTTACATTCTTCTGAACTTTCATCTACTTTACCCTCAGAGCTGGCAATGCCATCAGGACTTATTGGATGATCTCCCCCAGAGCCTAATGGCAAGAAACATCTTGACGGCTTGGGCTCTGCTGTGTTCATTAGGTTCAGAAAGGCCCTGAGAAGACAGCAAATGTATTCAGATTTTTATTTGTCTGCAGTTTGATGTAATAGTGTTTTATTTTTGGCCCCCAATTGCTCAGCAAAAGAAAAAAAACAACAAAATAAACCTTGGTGAAGCTGCTGATTTCCTCTAAATCGCTGAGCACAGGGATTGTAGCTTGATGAAGTCATTTAGTGCTGGATGTTTATATTCAAACTGTGCCAATGGCTCTTGCTGGAGTTTTTCATGAGGAATGTGATGATGTTTACTTCTTTATGGAGTTAAAATGACTATGAATTTGCCAGAACTAACTTGCAAGGGATTTTCAAACTTTTGTCTTTAGAGCTTTGAAATATTCAATTTTATTTAGGTTCTCAGGGAAGGAAATGTCACAAAGAGAAATCATGTAATCTTTGACCAAATAAAATTAGCTGCAACTTCTCTAAATATTTCTAAGTTCATTGGTCATCAGGCTGCTTGAAGGTAGCATCTTTAAACCATTCCCCAAGTGTATTGTGGAAGTCCATCTGGATAGAAAAATTCATTGTTGTGGCATCAAAAATAAACAGAGAGAAGAAAGTAGGGATGAGAGAACTTAAAAATATACGTTGCCCCATTTTTTTCTTTTCCTATTTTATTTTCTGTTTTCTCTCTTCTCCCATCACTGAAGAGAAAAGGATAGGCTGAGAAGGTAGGCCGTGCTTACTCAAAATCAGAAAAAAATATTGAATTAGAAAAGCCGTTGGCTCTCCAACCATCAATTCAATAAACATATATTTGTTGAATACCGGTAAAACACTAGACATTATGCTAGAGATACATAAACAAAATTGGCTGGTTCATCAATTCAGTCTTTCATGTAATAAACATTACCAATTAGCTAATGTTTGATTCAGGAAAACTGAAAATAAACAATGATAACATATGGGATGAGTGTATAAAAGTATTCAAAACACTGGAGCAAAAAACTGAGGACATTTCTAAGATAACCTATAGCATGTGTCTCATGCTTAGAGCCTCAGGCCACCTCAGGACACATAGGAAAGCTATCTTTGGCACTCTGCCTCCTCTCCTTGGCTGCCAAGTGCTCAAGAAGCAGTGTGGGACGATGAAAAGGTTCTAGTCTCTGGAACCACATAGTCCTGGGTCCACATCCCTGCTGTGCCAGACTGCTAATTGTCTTTCAACATCCCTTTCCTTTTCCTCCTCAAAAACAGAAATCCTGAATTTAGCCGGGCATGTAGCCACCCAGAATAGACTATGTTTACCAGTCTCTCTTGCAGCTGGGCAAGTCTTTGAGATATAGTTCAGATCAATGATTGCAAGTAGAAGTAGTGTTTGTCATTTCCAAGCAGTGTCCTTAAGAGAAGTGGAAATTCTCTTCTTCTCCCTTTATTTCTTCCTCCTAGTGAGTAGTTGGCGACCCACTGCAGCTGTCTTGGACCATCAGATGGAAGCCCTGTGTGGAGGATGGCAGAGAAACATGAGGCACAGAGTTTAACAATTGGGAAGCCATGATCCCAGCCTGAGAGAGGAAAATACAACTCACATTCTGTTTCAGACAATCTTGGGTTGCTGTCACTTGCAGTCAAAGCTAATTCTAACTAATACCAACAATGAGAACTTAAACCCTATGAGACTCAGTTTTCTCATATATAAAAATGAGGACAATAACATCTATTTTTACAATTGTTGGGAGGACTGAATTACAAGAATAAATACATTTAATTCACCTAGAATAATGCCAGTATCCAGTATTATTATTATTAACAGTAGCTACTATTATAATGTTTTCCGCCTATTTAAAATTCCTGCTCCATGAGTGTCTCCAAAACTTTAATAGAATAAAAACTCCTATTCCCTGACTGTTGCACCAACCAGAGAGGTGTTGATCTAATCCAAGATGTGTGATGTTTGAGACCTAGCCTTCCCAGGAACTTTATGGAATATGGCTCTTTTCCAGATTTGATACAGCCTTGGGAGAGAAATGCATAGATTGATGGGGGAGGGAGAGGCTCCTTGCTAGAGAGCAAGGCCAGCAGAATTGACTCTGATGATGGGCAGGGAAGCTAATTTGATAATAAAAGCAATCTCATATCTTCTGAGCTATCCCACCATAAGGCCCCTCCCTGCCCCACTTGCTTCTCTGCCTGCCACTCAAAATACTATTCATAGAGACTTTCTTACATGCTGGACCAAAATGGGAGCAAAATGAAAACATTATTAATGGGGAATTTCTTTTTAGTGGAATGAGTTTGGGGAAATCATGGAGATGATTTTTCTCTAGATAGGAGCTGCATGTTTTCTTCCTCTCTAGAGGAAACTAAACCTCCCCTTGTTTTGCCTGGTCACTTGCTCCTCTAATGATCTAAGGGTACTTGGGCAGCCTGTTGGACAAATGAGGCAGGTTTTCAGCCCTTGGAAAAGCATTTGGGTGGGTATAGATTTACTGACAGTCAGACTGAGTTCCAGTGCCTGATCTGCCACTTACCAGCTGTGTGACCTTAGGCCACAATTCACTTTTCTTCTCCAAGCTTCAGTTTCTTCACCCATAAATGTAAAAATAAACCAAAAATTTTTCCAGGCATGAAAAAAACCAGATGATCCAGTTAATTAATTGGATAATAATGAACTTTAGAAACGAATTGGATATTAGCCCCTTGGTTATCACTTAGGTGGATTTCCTTAGTCCTTAGGTCGCTCTTAGCAATAAAAGTTAAGGGCCTGTCTTGAAGGTGTGTGGACAGCGGGTATTCAATTACGTTTGTTGGTTGGATCAGGCAGTCAGTCAGCAAACACTTATAGAGCACTCGTGATGCGCCATGCATTGCTCTAGGCACTAACCATATTGTGAAGAACAAGAGAAACAAAGACCCAAACTCGAGCTCATTTTCTGGTGGGAGAGAGGGACAAAACAGACACAAAAACATTGAAATAAAGTAATTTTGTTTACTGATAAATATCATAGAAAAATGACAAAATAGGACACGATAGGATCCCGCTCTCATCCCAAGGATCCCTGCCTTGGGATGAGAACAGGGATGGATACTACTTTACATGGGGTGGTCAGGGAAGGTAACTGAGAAAGCAGATTGTTTAGTAGAACATGAACTAAAAGAGGCAACTCTGCAAAGATTATAGGGAAAAACATTCTAAGCAGAAAAAAAAAGGAAGTGCAAAGACCCTGAAGTAGAACGAGTTAGTCATATGGGAGGGACAAAAAGAAGGCCCATATTGGTAGAGAGTGACAAATGAAGGGAACGAGGGAGGGAACTGAATTTGAAGAGGTGAGTTGAGTTAAAGACATAGAAATGAATTTGAAAGAGGTAGATTATTTATTATCTGGTGATACAGTTTGGATATTTGTCCCTTTGAAACTCATATTAAAATTTGATCCCCAATATTGGAGGTGAGGCCTAATGGGAGGTGTTTGGGTCTTGAGGGCTGATCCTTCATGAATGGCTTAGTGCCATCCTATGGTAAAGAGTGAGTTCTTGCTCTCTTAGTTCAGCTCTCTCACGAGCTGGTTTTTTATTTTATTTTTAACTTTTATTGATGTTTTTAGAGACAGGATCTCACTCTGTCACCCAGGCATAGCTCACTGCAGCGTTGGACTCTTGGTCTCAAGCAATCTTCCCACCTCAGCCTCTCAAATCACTGGGATTACAGGCAGAGCTGGGAATTTAAAAGAGCATGGCACCTCTGTCCCCTCTTCCTCCCTCTCTCACTATGTGACATGCTTGCTCCTCCTTCACATTCTACCATGAGTGGAAGCTTCCTAAAGCCCTAACCAGAAGCAGATGCTGGTGCCATGCAGAACTGTGAGCCAAATAAACCGCTTTCTTTATCAATTACCCAGTCTCAGGGTTTTTTTAATAGCAACACACAACAGACTAATACATCTGTTTTATATTAGAGAGTGAAGGAAGATTCTAGATTTAATTCTCATTACTATAGGAAGGCTTTGAAGCATTTTAACCAGGACATTGACATGCTCTGACCTATGCTCTAAAACATTTTCTGTGGCTCCCTCTGCAGAGGCTGCTGTGAAGAGGACAAGACCGAATAAAAGAAGAGACAGGAGGCCACTTCAGTAGTCCAGGTGAGAGCTACAGCAATGGAGATGGGCCAACCAGGTAAGATTCAGCACGTATTTTGAAAGGAGAGAATAAAGGACTTGCTACATAAGAAGGTAAATGATGCTATGAACTTTGTATGGATAGAAAGGAGTGGATGAAAATATTAGAAACGCAAACGGATGAGGCTTGGTGCAATACCACAATAACTGAGAAAGAAAGATAAGAGGTAGTCAGTGGAAAGAACAATGCTTTAAATTGATATTTCAAAGCTGGTATTGATGAGGTCACATCTACAGTCCAACCCTAAGAACAAATGGTCCACATGGAGCAAAGGAAAAAACTAATGGTGTAGAATGAATCATTGATGTAGGTGTGGAAGTCATCTAGGACTTTGACAGCCATCGTGGTAAAACTGACAGTAAGACAGATGTCAGTGCCATCAATTCATGATTCCATGTGAGTGGCAAGTTGGCAGAGATAGAAACAAGAGGGGATAAAATATCAATGACATAATTTAAGAATCCTGAGTTGAAGGAGGAAGGACAGAAAATGGTTTGGAAGCGGCAATGGGCACCCCATGCTAACCTTTGAAAAGGCAATAGAGGAAGAAGTGTTCTCAGGAGGAAGCCTTGGTGATTGCTAAGCATGAATGGAGGACTACGGACTATTTTGGAACTACTAAGGATTAAGTTTGTATTTCCTTTCAAGTGATGAGTATCAAAGAAAGTCAATCTGAGTATGCTGCATCTGTCTAATAATAATAATCTCCATTTATGGAACACCAACCAAATGCCAAGGGCTTTTTTCCCCTATAATAAACTTGCACTACAGTTGAGGAAATCAGAGTTCAGGTGGATTATAGACACACCCAGTGTACTGGCTTTCTACCATGTTTGTTTAGCTAAGCTGAAACTGAAAGTCCTAGGATTCCCTTCCCAGTGTAAATCCAGGTTGGGGGACGTTCCCAGAACTTTGTGCAGGGGTTGGGTGGTAGAAGAAAAGCAGCAGCCGTTGTGCTCTGAAGGTTGATGCAGGGTGCCAAGCACTTGCTTATTCAGTGTCTCTGCTGTGCTGGCTCACACTGACGGTCCGAGGCCATGGCTCTCCTCACCTGGCTTATCTGACTCCTGAGCCAGGGGTGTGTGTGGCTCCACCAGATTCTCCATGAGAAGGCTACTAAGGTCTTTGTCAGGATACCTGTGTCACAGGGTTAGATTCAGGGAGAAACAGACCAGGTTCAAATTTGTACTTGTGGATTCCAGATTGTCCTCATGGGTACCAGTTGTCTTTGTTTTCCCCTCCCACTCGGCCTTTCACAAGAAAGGGCATTTGGCACTTTTTCCCAAATGCCTTCTCAGTTGACCTGTAGAGACTTCAGGCCACCACTGGACACAGAGGTAGCAAATTCTGTACTTTGAATAAGTCTTTTATCACTCAGAGTGGGTTATCTTCCCTGACACCCAGGATCATACATTAGAAAGTAGTAAAACCAAGATCAGTACCATAATTTCTCTAAATATAGGTCCTTTGCATTTCTGCTCTTCCAGAATACCTCTTAGGCCTACAAATAAACATTATATTTAATGAAACACCACGGAATCAAAAGTTAAAAGCCCACAGATAATAACGTGCCACCAGGATTAAACACTCTAAATAGGGAAGTCACGTTACACACAAGATTGGGGGTTTTATTATCAATAAAAGAGAAGAAAAAATTGGGTTGCTTGGTGCATGTTCCTCAGTCACTTTACGTTTTATCAGTGAATACCGAAGGTCAGAAAATTGGAGAAAGGCAAAAGGAATAAGGGAAATTTTTGGAAAATGTAATGAAAGGGAAGTTATGAGAAGATCTTTCAAGTCATTTGCACCTACTCAGAAATGGACTTAAAAGAAACATTATTCTATTACATAAACATTTTCCAGAAAAATTAAAACATAATGGAGGCACATTGCTTGTTAACAGGGTGACTAGGTGAACAGCCCACTAAGAGGTTGGAAGGGATACTTTTAAAATCCAGTTATTTCCATAGGATTTGGGGGAACATGTGCTATTTGGTTACATGAATAAATTCTTTAGTGGTAATTTGTGAGATTTTGGTGCACCCAACACTCAAGTAGTATACACTGAACCCGATTTGTAGGCTTTTGTTCCCTATCCACTCTCAACCTTTTTCCTGACTCCCCAAACTCCATTGTATTATTCTTTTTTTTTATGCCTTTGTGTCCTCATAGCTTAGCTCCCACTTATGAGGGAGAACATGTGATGTCTAGTTTTCCATTCCTGAGTTACTTCACTTAATAGTATCCAGTTCTATCCAGGTTGTTTTGAATGTCATTAATTCATTCCCTTTTATGGCTGAGTAGTATTCCATCATATATA